GTGTGTGTGTGTGTGTGTGTGTGTGCGTGTGTTTGTTAGCACTTGTACAGCTATCTTTGTGAGGGCCTGTTTGAGGGTCAGGACTTGGTGTTAGGGGTCAGGTTATAATTGGGTAAAGGGTAGGTTTAAGGTAAGGGTTTGGTTGAGGCACTTAGTTCTGATGGGTAGGGTTAGGATAAGGAGCTAGAGATTGCATTGTGTCAATGAATGTCCTTGCAAAGATAGCTATACAGAGTTGTGTGTGTGTGTGTGTGTGTGTGAGGCTGGTCTGACCTGAATGAGACACTGTAGAGGTCGGCCAGCGTAGCGGATACTTCTCTTCCAGTCTTTGCTGCTTGCTCTTCCTGACATACCCTCAAACTCTGTCGGGGTGTACCAGTTATTGTTGTGTTTGATACAGCGTCCTTTGCCCCCTGAGGTCAAAGATTAAAGATCAGTCACTGGCTGTGTCTCAATTCTTATATTATGTGTCCTTGTATAGTAATGAGTGTGTCTTAAATCATGGCACATAGAAAACAGTATGCCAAAGCAGCCCAGATAGTGAACTATTTTCCAGTGGATTTCTCATGTCTTTGGGCTTATAGTACCCACAATTCCTTGTGCAGCTGAAAAACCGTTTGTGATGTTTCTCTTCTGACCTTTTTAGTTGTAAAAAAAAAAAAGGCATGTATGTAAGACTTACTATCACATCATTAAATTGTGTCTTGACACTATAAAGCCAGTAACACTTAACTATAAAGTCCTTAGTAGGTTACATTGACTAATGCATTAACTAACATTACCTAACAATGAGCAATACATTCGTTACAGTATTGGTTAATCTGTGTTAATATTAGTTAATAAAAAATGCAACTGTTCATTGTTAGTTAATGTCAGCTCAGGTCCATTAAATAATATTGTAAACACTGTAAATAATAACAGATACAGCTTTCTAAATACATTGTAATAATGTATTAGTAGATGTTGACATGAACATTAACTCAGATTAATAAATGCTTTACAAGTGTTTTTCATTGTTGGTTCTTGTTAACTATTATAGCTAACAAATGGAACCTTACTGTAAAGTGTTACCTCATTTTTGTGCATTATTTTGTGTTTTCATGTAATATTTATCACCTAGCAAATACGTTACTTTAAAATTCATAATTTGAGGTTTTTAATTTAAAATCTGCTGTGAGAACTTTCCTCACCATTTTTTCACAACTAAAAAAAGTCTAATAATAAAAATACTACTACTAATAACAATTGTATTGTTTTAATTATATTATTGTGATTATAATTACAAAATAAAATTTAATTACTTAAAAAGACAAAATATTACTATTGTAATATTTCATTGTAAAACAAAAAGTATTTAAGAAAAAATTATATAATAATTTGTAAACTAATAAATGAATAATAATTTTAAAGTTTGAAAATCAAGAAATGAATAGTCATAAATATTAGCATTGTACTTTTACAGTTTTCTTTCAAATAAAATTATAATTACTTTATTTTATTAAATACTCACTTACTTGATTTCTTTATTTTGAAGTGAAATATTTAGTATTTTTATGTATTTATTCCGTAATAATCATCATAATAAAAGTAATAATAATCGTTGTTATTAATTATTGCTTTATAGTCATATTCATAAATAATCACAAAGATTTGAAGTTGTGCAGCCCTACAAACAAGTACAGCAAACCCGTAGTTTTTTAAAATCACATTTTAAATCACAATTTTTTTGAACAGCAAAATCGCAATTAGTTTTTCCCCCCAAATGCAAATTAGGCTGCAGCCTTTGATACTGTCAATACTGTCCTGACAGCTTGTTAACCTGCAGATGATCATGTGTTTGATTTCCTGCACACTTCCTGAGAGGTTTTGAAACACACAGCTGGCTTAGTGTTAGTCGTGTGACGCACTCTTGTGTCGACTGTGTACCTGAGCCCAGTCTGCTTTTGTACAGAATCCCGCTGGTGTTCCTGCAGCGCACGGGGAGCTCGTTGTCGTAAACCGACGGATCCCAGTTGTACTTAGAGACGTCCTTATCGTGTCCAGACGTCAGAGGGGTGCTCGGGGTTTGAGGACCTGAGAGGGAAAAACACACGCGTATAGAAATACTGTATTTCATTTAGTTTAAAGGGGTCCTATTATGCTCTTTTACAAAGTCTTGATTTTGTTTTGGGGGTGTACTAGAATAGCCACCTGCTAGCTTCAGTGTAAATATTGCTCAAAATCAAATCAATTTGAGCGCGATTTAAACCCGGATGATTGTAACCACTCTAAGTTCATCTGCCTTGGGAAAGCTAGCATGTCTCCGACATAGTGATAACACTCGTTGCCTTCTCTAGTGCAGCTCAACCAGGTCTCGTCCCATTCGTCGATCTTTGTGATATCACAAATCCCAGAAAATATGCGTTGTAGTCCAAACTAGTCATTGGTTGTAGTTTTTGAAAAGTGATTTCTGTTAAATAAAATATCTCCTTTTGAAATGGACTTTGAGCTTTGCAACTTTGCAGATCTTTTTTATGCTCAAACAGCAACATTACAGACTAACTAAAGTTGAAAAAGTGAAAAAGCATAATAGGACCGCTTTAAGTCTAGTTTTATAGCTCCTAACAGTCCAGTTTACCAGGTGTCATAGGTGTTGCGGTGCCTTTCAGCCCTGTGGCGTCCACGATGCTCCCATCCGTGTGCACCACAATCAGCGTGGCCTTCTGGGTACTCAGACTGTCTCCGATCTGAAGTGTAGTTCTGCCTGTCTACATGAATCAGTTAAGACATATTAAATCTGATGTTTTTATTTTGATCCAAAACATATCTGTCCTAACATTTATTTCACACTAACTAAAAATAAACGGTATTACCGTGATTATTTTGGACTAAATCTAAAACTATAAAACTATTTTTGTTAACTGAAATAAAATAAACCCTACCTGAAATGAAATAAAATATAATAAAATTTTATTTTATTTCAGCTAGTTAAAGAGAAAACCTTTCTCATTTTCATTTAGTTTAACTTGACGTACTAAAATGACTACAGAAATCAATAAAAACTATAATAAAGTATATATTGTATAAATAATAATATTAATAAAATTATATATATATAATACAATTATATAAAAAAACTAAAACTAATAAAAATTACACAAAAATACTAAACCTTTAACTAAACGTAATGAAATTATTAAAAAAAAACTAATTCAAAATACTGATAAAAACTATAATAGTATCTAAATGACACTAAAATAATAAAATAATCTAAATGATAACTAAAATAAATGATACTAAAATGTTAACTAAAATATCGTTTTTGTTTGCATAATGTTTACTGTGTATATTTATTATGTATATATAAAAGCACACACATACAGTATATATTTTGAAAATATTTACATGTATTTACATGTATATATTTATATTAATATAATTTATATCATGTATAAATATATTTAATATATAAAAGAAACATATTTTTCTTAAATATATACATGCATGTGTGTGTATTTATATAAAAAGCAAGCAAATAAATAAATAAATAAATAAATAATTCAGCCATGCATCATTTTGATATGTGTTTTCAAGTTATTTAACATTATTTAAAATTAACATTATTGAATACTTCTTAATTTTTTAATGTTTTGACATTAATTATAACAGAAGTTATCCAAATAAAACATTTTTGGACATGCAAGATGGTTTTATCATGGTATAGGAAAATATAGTAATCATACAGTACCACAGTTTTGGTTTCTATCAAAGTACCATGGTATTGTCATCTGACTGTAACATGGTACTGCCACTATTTTGTGACTTTATTTACAAATAAATTCTAGGGTTCCTTCCATCTTAGTATTTGACAAAATAATGTATTCTGCATAAAGACAAGCATAATTATACTGTCAATTTCAAGCCTTTTTAACTTTAAATCATGCATAGGTTTAGAGTGGACCAGCGAGAGTGTTTTATCTTACGAGCACGTGTTCAGGGATGGACGCTGCTGTGGCGACTGTAGATGTGAACACAGATTCATCTGAACTCTGGACATCCCCAACCGTGACGGCTGTCACCTCTGCGAAAAAACACAAACTTTATATGACTTTGGGTAGACGACAATGTTTCTGGTGTTTGTGCACATGACGTACTGTACTTGAATAATTAAGATTTAATAATAAAAATAAGAAACGGAGCAATTCCAATAGGGTCCTCACACCAACAGTGCTCGGGCCCTAATTAATAATAATATTTTTTTTATTTTTTTTATTTGGTTTGTTTTTGAAAGAAGTCTCTTTGGATGTATTTATTAAATAAAAAATACAGTAAAAACAGTAATAATATAAAATATTATTACAAATTAAAATAACTGTTTTCTATTTGAATATATTGTAAAATGTAATTTATTCCGGTGATGCAAAGCTGAATTTTCAGCATCATTACTCCAGTCTTCAGAGTCACATGATCCTTCAGAAATAATTTTAATATGCCGATTTGCTGCTCAATTATTTTCAATTTTTATTGGCACTCATTATAAAAACGCTAACACTTTACAATAAGGTTCCATTAGTTAATGTATTAACTAACATGAACATTTAACAATACATTTATTACAGTATTTATTAATCTTTGTTAATGGAAATACAGTCTTTCATTGTTAGTTCATGTTAATTCACAGTGCATTAACTAATGTGAACAAGCACAACTTTTGATTTTAATAATGCATTAGTAAATGTTAGAATTAACATGAACTAAGCTGAATAAATGCTGTAAAAGTATTGTTCATTCTTAGTTCATCTTAACTAAAGTAGTTAACTAATGAACCTTACCATAAAAACTATTATCAATGTTGAAAAAATTTATAAACGTCTTCAGCATCACTTTTGAAGAGTTTGATGTGACGAGAATTGTTTGTTTGCCCAAAACAAAATATTATAATATTAACGTTGGTTAAACAAGCCTTATTCTAATCAGTGAAAAAAAAGATGATGATGTATAATGGATTAAAAGACCGTATGATTTGCGCATGCGCACACTGACCGGCAAACGCCGTTTCGGCATCGTCTGGGTTCGGCAGGGGTTCGGTGATGTCGATGTTTCCCGCTTCTCCCATCACAGTCATCGTGGCGACTTCGGCCTCCGACTCGGTATCCGAACCTACCGCCTCTCCCGCAGACACGTCGCCCAGCTCGAGTGCCTTCGCCGCCGGTTCAGTCGCGTCCATTTCAAAACAGCGGCGCACGAAAGCAGCCGAAATTATCCGAAGGATTGTCGAGGCGAGGTGCGCGTCCCTCACGATTTGTAAAGATGCAGGTGTCCAACGAGCGCTTGGTCAACTTGCACGAATAAATAATTGATTTATAAAAACGATTTATTTTTCTTCAGGTATGAAAGAAAAGAAAATGGTTGCAGGATAATGGCCTCCGAGTGCCTTTACTGGGGACGGGGGATCAACACAGGAAGGAGAGCAAGCGGAAATTACCGAATCAAAACGGAAATTATCGAAAGAACACGACGTAGCACGAAACCACGCTCGACAGCAGACGTGATTTTCAGTCAAGAGTACACAAATGTAGATTTCTTAAAGCTATTTCAAGTTTTGCGGCATTTAAAAATTATTTTACATTTTTATTTCGAAGTAGCTGAAATGAATGCCTTAAAACTGTAAAATACTTGCAATATATATATTTATCAACCTAATTTAATTTATATTTAACTTATATATTTTATATATTAATAATTAATTTATATATTAATCTCTCTCTCTCTCTCTCTCTCTCTATATATATATATATAATACATTTAAACATTGTATATATGGATTAAAAACATCAAAAGAATAAAAAATGGTGAAAAAGCTAAAAAAAAAATGCAGTAAGAAGAGAACTACAAAAATGTTGATGTATTTTGATGTGTACATTTTAGACAAATATAACATTACAATAAGGTTATCAATATTAATAATTAAATTATTAACAATTATTAAAAATATTACAGATTTTTCATTTCTTTTTTTTGTGGCATTATAAAAAGAAATGACCACAAAAAAAAAAAAACGTACTATGATAGCACTCGTCAACATAGCAAAGGAAGACTTGAGTTCCATCAAATGCATTGATTTGTGTCAATTTTCAAAATTCAAGACTTTTCAAAATTTAATTTAAAAAAATACAATTACTTTTTAAAATCTTTATTGTAAATAATTTTTCCAGAGTATAACGTGATTCAAGTAATAATAATAATAATAATCCATATATCTGGCATTATCAGAGTACATTATTAAAGTAAAATGTAGTATATTTGAAATATGAAAGGTATGAAGTAGAAATGATTTATTCAAGGCTTGATAAAGTGTTTGTGGATGTGGATCATCATACAGGCCAGCCGTAAGAACCGGAATTCACTTTACGGATCTGACCAGGCTGCCGCGGAAACCTCACTGACTGTCCTGTGGATAACAATTCATTAAACGAATTCATTCATTCTAGCGAAAAAAAAAACACTGCCATAGCAAACACCACTAATTGCTAATAATAGTTGATGGTCTGTTTATTTGTTTACTGCTGTTTATTACCTGGAGTAAGTGGGATTGTAGTTCCAGTATTCAGGACAACTTCAAAAGCGGACGGCTCCTGACTCCCAGACTCCTCTGCAGGCTTCCTCACTGAAACGCTCACTTCCCCACGCTTCACCATCCAATCCATCTTGTTGCCAAGGTAGCTCACACCTTTCACATGGAGTGCATCAACTTCCTGTGACAGCAGCGGAGCGAAGGCAAGATGCTCCCTCTGCACTCTGAACAACACAGGACAGGAACGAGACACACAGTGACGTCTGGATGTGATCAAGCGACTGTCTCTTTAAGTTGGCAGTGATTTTGTCACCTGAAGCCAGTGTAGCCAAACAGCACCGCCTGCAGAAAGCCGCCCGTACCGGTGAGGAAGTTCACACACCCAGAGCCATCAGCCGACTCACTCCATACCTACACAAAGAACGGAGAAATACAGATGATGGAGATATCTGACATAAAATACTAGAGTATTAATTAGTATATATCGTGTAATATGTACAGTATACTGCTTTAAATATTTACATATATGCACAGGATGTAACAATAAATGTTTCACTGTTGTCATCGACTTTATGTTATGTTGCATATTAATTATGTTGTATACAGTTTTTAAAATGTAAATTTAATCGAGCAGCGTGTGGGATTTATATATTTTCTCATTGTACTTTCATCCTTCACACCTACAAATATGGAAGACTTTTTCCGCCACGGGATAAAACAGTAAAAAAAGTTAATTGTGACTTTTTATCTCACAATTCAGACACAATTGTGAGATATAAATTCAGATTTGGAAGATATAAACTCGCAATTGAAAGAAAAAAGATATACTGTAAACTTTTTTCTCAGGATTCCAAGTTTATATTTCGCAATTCGGACTTTTTTCCATCTAAATTCTGAGTTTACGTCTCGCAATTCTGTTTTTTTGTTTCCACCACGTAATAAAAAATAAAAAAGGTAACTGTAACTTTTTATATCTCACACTTCAGATTTTTCTCGCATTTGCAAGTTTGTATCTCAAAATTACAGAACTTGTGAGATATAAGATATAAATTGCTAGAACAAAAAGTCTGAATTATGAGATAAAAATTTTTTATCCTGTGGCGGAAACAAGCTTCCATAACGAATGATATGTGTGTGCTGGGCACTATATTTTTTATTGAATTTAAATTGAATGTCAGTTTTTTTTACATTTAAATTTAATGCAATTTTTAAATATAATATATTTTAATTTTTAAAATATACAAAAAAATGTTTTTGCAAAATATAATTGAAAAAGGAAGGTCACATTCTGCATTGCATTGTCGGATACGTTATTCCATAGAGTGTGCTCTGCTTGCGTACTTATTTTCCACTAATTAAAAACAAAATAATAATAATCCGTAAATAAAACAAAGATTATTTTAATGGATTTACAAGAAAATATTATTTTAATTTGTCTACTTCAAAATTTCATGTTTATTTTTAACATGTTACTTGCAGTTTCTTTGTAATTATTTGTTAAATTTACTAGCAATTTCTGAGCGAAATTGTTTTTTTTTTGTTTTTTTTCAGTGTACTATGCACAGCATACATATTGCATAGTGCAAAAATGTACCTGAAATGGTTTCTGGATATTTTTGAAGCACTTCCGCAGAAGCTTTTGGGCTCTTTCAGCCTCTCCAAGTTCAAGCCAACCCAAAGCAAACATGCCCTACGAACAGACACACATATAGACTTATTTACACTTACTGAACATTTTACAAGAAAATATAGTGTGCAAAAAAAAAAAGGAAATAAAATGAACAGATAATAATAGAAACACACACAGAGCATGATGGTTGCGGCACAGTGTGTGACTTACCCATGTCATGGCCGGTCCGAGCGGATCCGTGACAGCCTCATACGCTTCCAGATCATTGCGTCTGACCTCTGGGGTCATGGACATGGCCAGCGGGTATCCGAGCAACACTACGTCTGCCTGCTTGACTCGATTTCCTGAGGAATATAAAGCAGCGGTCCCTTTATTACACCATAGAAGAGAATTACAAGCAACTGAATTATTAGACTTCTTTAAAGAATTCAAATATACATCAACATTTGTCTTGAAAATAAAACATTTTTGTACATTTATGCACTTTTTTTTTTTTTTACAAAATGTACATTTATGAATGTAAAATTTAGCAATGAACGTTATTCAGAATTTATGTCACATGTATATAAGGCTACAGCGATGATGTATTTTTGTAAATTAGCATCACCCTGGTTCCCACGGCAAAAACCCAATAGTACTGCAGAAAATAAGTTCTGTGACCAACAAAGTTTATGATTCTTACATGTTTTGTTCATCATAACAAAACACTTTTATGAATTTTGAAGCCTAAAAACAATCGGCAGAAGTAAAAAAGTAAACGTAGTTCATATAAATGAACTACACTACAGTTGCATGCCTTCAGCGTCACAACCATTATGCTACTGACAACTCTTTCAGTCTTTATATCTACAAGTTGGAAATTGTATAAATTTTATTACATTGCATTTATTTGTTTTATTATATCGGTAACACTTTACAATAAGGTTCCATTAGTTAATGTTAGTTAATGTATTAACTAACATCAATGAACAATACATTTATTACAGTATTTATTAATGTTAGTTAATGAAAATACAGTCGTTCATTGTTAGTTCGTGTTAATTCACAGTGCATTAACTAATGTTAACAAGCACAACTTTTGATTTTAATAATGCATTAGTAAATGTTGAAATTAACATGAACTAAGATGAATAAATCCTGTAGTATTGTTTCTGCTTAGTTCATGTGAACTAAAGTAGTAAACTAATGTTAACTAATGAACCTTATTGTAAAGTGTTACCAATATATTTATTGATTAATTAACTATTTTAATGTATTTAATTAATTATTAATTATTTTTGTTGTTGTTGTTTGTCCCCAACAACCTCTGTAGGCCCATTTAACCTTTGTCAGAAAAGTAAAAGCTTAAAAAAATAATAATGCATGGTGTATTACTGATGTATTTTATGTTTTAGAATAAAAGGTGAAAATATCTTGAGCTTTTGTAAACACAAACTTGTAACCAAAACCCCAAAAACACGTCTCATTTTCAGGTTTGAGGACTCCTCCCTGCAGCACTGAGAGTTTGTTTAGAAAGTTGAATCAGGGAATATAATGATTACTACACCACGAGCATGAAGCTGATGAGGGCGTCTCACCCTGCGTGTAGCCGTCAAACTCTGGGTGATACTTCAGTTCCGGGTCAAAGGGTACTTTGATCTTATCAGCAACGTCCTGCCAAGCGGGAGGAGCCGCGTGTGCCAACAGACCAGACAACTCCACGGCAAACTGAAGACTACACATTAGAGAGAACGAAAGAACCTGCTAGTTCTGAAAAATACTCCCAATACTCTCAATATTCATTGTGTGATTTTTGGCTGTTTAATCACCCGCCAGGAGAAATCTTATGCACTGACATTTAGTACTCAGGGTTAAGGGTTTGTTCAAATCAATGACCCTAATTACGAGAGATCATGCACAAACACACACCTGCGCTGGGCGACAGCATTGGTGAACACGGAGTTGTCGACAGTGAAGTAGTACTCATCAGGAGGAATCACACCTAACGGACAAACAACGCAAAACCTCACAAAGAAGCTTACGCACAATATCAAAACAACACACTTAGCAAGTTTTTTTTATTTCCCTTTGCACTCGTTCATTCGTTTTTCCAGCCCTGAATGCACCACAAAACATTATGAATCATTATAAACGAATATGATGTAATATTGTGTGAATTCAAAAAGTTCCACGTTACTTAAAAAATTATTTCAAGTATTTAAATGCATGCATGACTCATGATGTCATGACCAGTGTTATTTTAGTATTATTTATTTACTAATATTTTTAGTTTTTTATACTTTACTAATATTTATTTTTTGTAATTTTTTTAGTTTTTTAGACTTTAGTTTTTATATACCTTTTTTTTTTCTTCTTTTTTTTTTGTAATTTTCTTTGTTTGTTTTTGTTCTTTTGATTTT